TGCCACTTGCAGATGCATTGCGAGGTTCCAAGGGACGGGAACCACCGCGCCAACGCTAGCAGGCCTCGGCCCGTCACAGTTCCCCCACTGGGGGATTCAGCCCGGCCCTCCCCTGACTCTAGCCCCTGGTCTTGGGGCCACTTCAGGAGGCGTTCGCAGCCATGCTGGCTGGCCCAGTGGGAAGCCCCATCCCTTTGCCACTTGCATTCCACACCCGCATTTTGGAGGCTCTGGCAAGCCCTCAGTCCAGTGCAAAAAGCCGGGCCCGTTTGACTGGGGAAGAGAGATGAGGCCTGAGCGCGAAGGTGAGAAAGAGCTAGGCGATGTGTGCGTGTGCGGGCTGAGAGAAGACTCCAGAACACACAAAAGGAGCGCAAAGTCGGGGGAGGCGGCTCAGTCCCGGAGGGCCGGCAGAGGGGGTTGGGGGGCGAGGGCGGCCCTGCACCCCGTCGCCCCTGCTCCTAGTGGGCCTGGCCACGAGGCTGCTGGGACGTAAGGCTGCGCCAGAAGAGCTGGGGCCGCGCACAGGGGTGCAGGCTCTTCCGCCCCGGGAGTGAGAGGGTCACAGATTCAAAGGAGAGCAAGATCTGGGCGGGGGAAAAAAGTCACAAAGAAATTGGTTTGCCACCTTGCAAAATGGCGGCATTTAAACATCTTTCTGGTGGTGGTGGCCAGGTCAGAGAGCTGAGGGCTGTCCTGGGTCAGCGCGGTGGCCAGAGCTCGGCCCCCAGGGGGACAGCAAGGGGGAAAGGGACCCCAAAACCTCCTTGGTCCCCGGGCAGCCCTTCGCCGGCTCGGCCGTCCCCTGCCTTCCCTCTAGGCCCGCCTGTCACAAACCCTGCGCCAGCAGCCCCCGGACACTGACCCCTGTTTACAAACACAGCTCGGGGGCGGGGTAGGGCGGCCGGAATGCGGGTTGGCGGGGTGGGGGAGGCCGCTGGCTCCCGGGGACGCCACCAGCAGCGAGGAGCGAGGAGTTGGTGCGAGAGAGCGGGCCCGGCAGCTGGAAAGGACTGAACGCCTTGTTTTTGAAACTGTCAATCCCCTCAACCCCTATTGTGAGGGCTTCATGCAAAACATCTCAGGCCTTTTAAAGTAGGAGCTTGTGAGGCCGCCACAGTTTGAAAAGAAGCGAGAGAGGAGCGGGGCCTAGGGCATGGGCAAAGAATGATAGCTCCCCCCTCCCTTTTTATCCCTTTTTTCAAAAAATAGCAAAAGAGGGCCTGCCAAACAGGTAAAATGCAGCCCTCTCCCCCTCCTAGATCTGCCCTATGTCCCCACCTCCCAGGCTAGTTTGCAAAATGCCCTTTAGCCTAGGGAGCAAACCAAAACCAAAGCTAGCATTAAAAATAGTTCTTCCTTCCAGGGCTGGGGAAAATCCTGAAGACAGGGGTGAAGGTGGACTCCCTAAGGTGGATGCCCTGTTCCTCCTTGCCAATTTCCTGAGGTTAGTTGATGGGGAACCTTTCATTTTTACCCCTAGTTTGGCTCTAGAAGCTTCCTTTTTCACATCCTTTTCAGCAGGAAGTTATATTTAAGGTGAAGCAAAACTCACCACATCTTATAACTTTTGTAGATACTAATGTTTTATTTAAAAAAAATTTTTTTTACCGTGGAGGATTTTTATTTTCTTCGAAAGAAAAAAAATGCTTTTGAGGAATTAGTCTACATCGCTTCCTGCATGCAAACAAAACTATCATTCTCATATCAGCAGAAACTTCCAATTCTTGGGACTGGAACTCTGAGGAATTTCTAGACCATTGAAAGTCACCCAGACACGGATAAGATAAAAATCCACGCACCAGCCCATCTAGTTTGTGTTATTGCTGTTTAGTGGTGGCTCCCTGTTGTTGATTTTAAAATAAACAACCATTATTGAGATTGCTCCGCTGTAATCAAGTAAGTCAGTAGGAAAGAACACCCACTTTAAAAGGTAAATAGTTGAAAAACAGCAAGCTGCATTTACGAAAAAGGCAGATATAACCTGGCTGTGGAAGACAGAGTACACACATCTCTTAAAAAAATAATTAAATCTTCATTTCACAGTCTTATCAGGAAACTACTTTTTTAGAAAACCAAAAATAAGCTTGTTTTCCCAAAAAGTCAGAGAAAGAGCCCTTCCCAGTATTTTCCGTATGTCTGTGAATGCTGAGCTTTAGACACAGGAATCAGTGACCCTGGAACCATATAATGCCTTTTAAACAAATATTCTATCACCTGAAAACATTTAAATGTAAAAATGCAATCTGTCAATGGAGGTAACTTTTGTTTTTCTCTCAATAAGGCTTAACTTTTTGAACAAATGGGACATTTATAGTATCTTAGGAAATCTAGATGTTGTCATTAATCATAAGACAACCAAAATGAAATAAACTGCTCTGAGAATAATTCCCACAGCAGAATGGGCACACAGCTAAGGGGCTACCAGAAATTGAAAGAATACTTTGTATTTGCAAGTTACTGAATACTATTTGGTACACTTTCCTAACAGAAGCCCCAACTGAGGTTTTGCTGTGGTTGGCTGGCTTGTAGGAGTACTGTGGGGTGAAATCTGTGTTGACTATTTAATTTCTTTCCTTTTGATGGTATCACTCTGGAATGCCTCGGCCTCCATGCTGCTCATTCTCCAGCTCCTATAAACTGAAACTATTGATTCTCTGAGGGCTGGAGACCAAGTGTCAAAGCTGGAGGCCGATATTTTATGTCAGAAATTCCATAGGGTATTATTTGTTTTAAAGTGTGCTTATTCCATCTTGTGGTCCACCCACGCCCAAGATCTGTAGGCTTCAAATATATTCTCAATTTATAATTGAGGAACAGTGATTCCATAGCCAACAAGTAAAGTACTAGTCTAAATGTAGTAGTCATCATGCTTTGAACTTTCTTGACTTAGAAGTAATTAAAGAGTAGAAATGACAGACTTCCAGTGTGTGTATGTCACACTTTTTACAGATTGATTTTGCAGGACAGCTCACTGCACCTAAATTCTGTATTGCCTTCCAAAGAGGAAAGAACTCAGACTGAGAAGCCAATTGTTCAGCTTTCTGGAGCTTTAACTGTAACTTGTACTGATCTTCGGAATTACACACAAACATGAATTCAAGGATAACACCCCCCCCAATTTTTGCTTTGACCATATCTATCATGCCAATAAAAAAGGATCCAGTGCACTTACATCTGGCAACATTCAAAAAGGAAAGGAAGGGAGGCAGTTCAAAGCATCTGTTTACTCCATCCAAATGTATTTGGATGCAGGTATGCTCAGCCTCTGTCTTTTACAATAAGAGTCAAACCACAGAGCATATACAGCAATTAGGTCTGAGACCATCCAGATCTATCTGAAACATTTATAGACAAAAGAAAATTTTCAAAGGGAGTAGGAATTAAAAGGTTAAAGGGGGGAAAAGACTGAATTTCCATGAGAAATGGTGACTTAAATTCACACAGTAAACATTTCATTCATGTTTTGTTTTGTTTTGTGATTTATGATCTATAGATGCAACTTCCTAGGTTTAAGATGGCACAGATCTGAGATACATAATTTGTCAGACTAAGGGAGGTGGACCTAAACTTATTAGATTTAACTTTCATTAAAATAGCAATTGATCTCTACTTCATTTTTTTAAACCTGAACTTTTTGCACTTGATTTGTAACAAGTTTGTAAAGGTTTGTTGTCATTTAGGAAGAAATCTACCAGTGTTTTGCACAGAACCTGACTGGCCTCATCACATGGTATTACAACAAAACTCTACACCCAATAAATGCATTTCTGTCAGACAAAAACATTACAAGTGAAAATGTCAACAAAACCATTCATTCCTGTTAACCGTTCTTCAATCTGGAATAAGTAGAAATGTATGGAACCAGGAATTTTAAACAGTGTTTTTAATTGAAAATAAAGCTAAAGCATGCTTTTCAACAGTGCAAATTTCCATAATTTTGATTTACTGCTTCCATCACCACAACATAGCACACCAGCATAGCCCTTACCAAGGGCCAGACCCTGGCCATTTGCATGTTGAACTACTTTAAGTGCAAATATAGATAGTCACCTCTGATTGTCACTTGCAGTAGAAACTCTCCTGCTGTATACACAGGATGGTCTGAAAACAGAAGTTTAGAGAGATGCAGAAAAATAAAAATGTAACAAAATCCAAGTGCCTGAGTTCTGGTACCAAAAAGCCCTGAAACAACTGTTATTTTTCATTTGGGTGTATTCTTACAACTCTGACCCATTTTACTTTTCTTGGATGTATTTACTGCTTTGTCACTATGTGGAATGAGACCATAAAATATCCTGCTCTTAAGAGAAATATTTTAATTGTTTTGCAAGTCTGAGGAGTCATGTTCAGACCACAAGGTAAGCAGGACAACAGTAAGAGTCACCTTATTTAAAACCTTTGGGTAAGAACACAAAAAGGACTTTTCCAATTTCAAGGAGTGGCTGTAAAAGTAAAATGACACCCTTTACCAAAAAGAAAAAAAAGTAATCTCATATTTATTTTACTCAGTATATATGAGGCAGTTTTTATCAGCATTCAATTAGGACTCCCCACTCTTTCTGCTCAAAAAAGGAAAAATTAAGTGCAACTACTCTTGGAGAGAGAATGAGGGGAGAAAAAGAAAGAGATACCCCACAAATAAGAGCTCCAGAGAGGAACATTTTGGGCTCACAGAAACTTCTTGCTCCCTCACTGTGTAACCATGTAACCTAACAAGCTTTCACTGAATGAAGTTACACTTTCAGGTCTGAAATCTAGTGCATAAACTTAATGGCTCATTGTAATATTTATTATTCAACCTTTTGACATTTATTTGTAGCAGTTGAATTGAGGTACCGGGTGCATTATTAGCATTGAAACAGTAAAGTGTTCCAGCTCTACCGTAATAACTGAGTTTTACTTGAGTCTTTAGCCTGAAGTAGTCTGTGGAATGTAAACCAACCATTCTCCCACCCCACCCCCACCCTAATCCAAAAAAAAAAAAAAACCAACCCGCAATGTAAAAAAAAAAAAAAAAGTAATCCGATTTCTGTCTTCAAAATGCGATAAACCAGGACTCCAAAAGGGGTGTAACACATTAATGGACTTGTACAAACCATCCTGTGCAGTTTACAACAAAAGGAAGGTAATAGGGTTCAAGAAAATATCTTCCAAAACACTTTTATGAATTAAATTTCCTGAATTTGTGACTAGGTGGAAGAGGTATTGCAGAACCGCCCAGCTGCCATTTCCAGATAGGATGGGCCTTGTGAGGAGGTTGGGAATCCTTAGTGGTGTTTAAGGAATATGCAGGCCACAAATCCCCATCGTTCCCAATAATGAGTGATGGTGGACAAGGAAAATTTGCCATGAAATTAAATGGCCTTTTCACTGCTGATGCTACATTGCTGGCTACCTTTTTGCGTCTGTTTATAACTGTAAAATCATCCAGTGTTCCTTCATGTAGCTCACTTTTACCTGTAGGACGAGGACTTCTAGCTGATTTCAAATTTGGTTTGACTGGAGGTGTCTGAAGTACAGGTCGCTTTCCCAAAACTAGTGTCCGGTAATTTTTTCTCACCCTGGCACCAAATTTATATTCCCCATCCTCAGGTTTTGGAGAACCTAAAGTGCATGAAAGGCCCTGACTTGGAGCCAGTGGATTTAAGGAAGGAGTTTCTTTTTCAGGGCATGCAAACCCTTCCTTGGCTGTGGTTAGCAAGGTGTCCTCCTCTTTACTTCCAGTCACACTGTAAAACTCACCCTTTGTATCATTGCACTCGCACTTTAGCTTATTTGTAATAAGGTCAGGTTCATATTCTTCATTAGCACTACTGTCTTCGACTTTGATTTTAATATTGTGCAGAAACGGCAGTGTCCTGTCGCCTGTGTCAGTGCAGGGACTCTCCGCTTTCGTTGCTGCTGCCACATCCACCCCAGGGTCAGTCTGCAAAGAGGGCAAATCCGTAGCAAATTCTGTACAAGGGGGGATTTTGGAATCTTTTTCTGAATTTGCTGCTGCTCGTGAAGAATCATGATTGAAGAACCTAGCAGCTATTGTGTTATCTGCACCGGGTGTAGTAGGAGTTGCTTGCAAGCATTTCTTAGACTCCCGGAGTATTCTTTGTTGTGGAAATGCATTGTTTGTCTTTGGGCTAGGTGAAGAGGCCCCCTCCGCCAGGCAGTTAAGTGTCAGGTCAGTTCTCTTTACAGTACTGGAAATTTCAGAGTGTGGGAATGTAATCGCAGATACCCTATCGTTCCTTATCTCTGTGAAACAAGTCCCCAGGCTGGCCGGGCAGTACACCGGAGACGCTTTGGGGGCCCAGCTCTGCAGAGTCCACTCCTCTGGCGACTCGGCTTTGACACTACTCTTGAGGTCGGGAAGTCGACCGGCATCCTCGAAAGCAGCGGGGTTGGTTGCAGCCGCGGCGGAGGCCAGATGGTACAGGAAGCTGGCCTGCGCCTGCACGCTGGGCGGCTTGCAGAAGCTGGTGCGCCTGAAACGGATGCTCTGCACCGACTCTTGGCTGGAACCGGAGCTAGAGTCCGACTCGGAGGACGAGTCCTCCTCCTCCGAGCTGACTTCACTGGAATCCGAGGCCCCGCTGCCCCCCTCCTCCTCTTCCTCCTCCTCCTCTTCCTCCTCTTCCTCTCCCTCCTCCTCCTCTTCCTCCGAGGACACAGAGTTGCTGGAGCTAGACAAACTGGAGCCAAAATCGGAGTCGTTGGCTGCGTGGTCCGAGTAGGAGCTGGACTCCGAGTCGCTGCTGCAGCTCTCAGGAAAGCTGCCCGGATGGGGCTGCTGCCGGTGGTGATGAGGGTGACTGTGTGGCGGCTGCTGGGCCCGGTGGTGGTGGTGGTGGTGGTGATGGTGGTGGTGGTGGTGGTGGTGATGGTGGTGGGGAGGCGGGCAGAAGCTGTTAACCAGATGAAACCTCTCAAGACAAGTGGCCCCGGCGGCGGCCGCCGCCGCCGCGGCCGCCGCCGCGGCCGCCG